AGCTTGCAGCTGTGCAAAATGTAGGTTCTCTTTTTCCAGTCTTGGGGTCATGTATCCTCAGTCTTTAGCAATCTTGTACAGGACTACATCATGTCTTTCTTTCAACACCTTGAGGTTGCATTAGTTGAGAATTCCATGCTGGCTTCCAACATGTTCTTGTACCTCTTCTGTTTGCTTGAAGGAGTTTGTTAGTATAACAGAAACCTGTACCCTACACTCTGTCCTTTCCTCCCTCCCTGGGGAAATTGTATTTGGAAAAGTGATTTGCTCTTAGTCTCAATTTTCATTTCAGTTTATTGTTGTAATAGTATCTTGTTTTACAAAATGTATCCTTAAGTGCTTTTGGCTGAAGCCTGAAGTACACGGCACAGAAACAGGCATGGCAGGAGGTGCAAGGAGGAGATTATTGCAATAGCAGTGAGGAGATTGTGCAGAGAGATGAGGAGGCTAGCACCAGATTGTGTACACATGCATGTGTGTGCATTTGTGCAAGAAAGAGACACATTTTTTACTTTTAAAATTTTACTATAAAAATATTAAAAGCAAAAGAGTGAAAGTGCGTAGCCCTCCCAGGATTGAACATGAATCATTTCTTGGTAATGGAAACACTCATATCACCAGAAATTGAAACCCCTTCTTCATGGGGTTACACATTTAGGACTAACTGTCTATCTCCCACTTTCCAGTGCTCCGTTAATGGTTTAGCATGACACAAACTGGTCCACATTCTGTTGTAAGATGAGGTGCAATCCACCCCCAGACCAAGAAGCAGAAGAGCTGGAGGGCATCACTGGATCCAACCCCTACTAGCAGGTTTCTGTGGCTTTTCAGGGTCACCATCTTGGCCTGGCTCAGCCTGAAATTGGCCAGGCAGATCTTGCTTCCTGCAGGCAAGAGAACGAGAGAGAGAGGGAAATCTAAAGAGAATCCATAAGAGGTCATAAAAACTTGAAGAGATGTTTTTATTAGGATCCAGAAATTAATAGAGTTCAAGAATTTTGCTTGGTAACAGGATGATGCAGCTACAGATTGTTCCATGAGGGGAAGGACATGTAGCAGCAGTCTGTGTATACTGGAGTAAGGAATATAAATGGAGCCACAGAGCAGACCATTCTAGTACTGAAAGTGAATGAAGAAGTAGTGATGGATGAGGGTTTCACCAAATGTGGAGTGGAGGGAGTGCTCTGGAAAGGAGATTAGGCAGAAAAGAAGGCTTAGGAGATAAGGCCGATGTCAAGGTTGCAGGCTGGAGAAAAGCTCATTTCAGAATTGCTACTGTTCATCTGTTTTATGAAGTATTCCAGGTAGACACAGACCAAAGGCATGACACTGTTTTCAAAAATAGTTCATTGAATTGTGAAGTTGCCCATGCAGAGCTTGGTACACACTTGGTATTCCCAACAGCTGTTGCATTGATATCCTTACACACCAAGATCCTTTTTCACACCTGAGCTAGAAGTCAGAGCAGAGGTGCTACAAATGCCTTCAAAGCTCCATCACCTGTCAGTGTGCTTCATCTTTGCTGGGAGAGAAACATTACACTACCTCTGACCATGGCATCTTTGGAGAGGTAGCCCAAAAGTGATTAGGATATTATCAGTGGTAGCTGTGCTTTTTTTATGTGTGCATTTGACAAGAATTGAACAAGCACCCAAAACTACTTTCACATACACCAAACTACCATCAGATAACTTTGAACCAGTGACCTAGAGGTGAAAAGCTCTGTAGCTTTATTACTGAGCCCATGAGCCATCCATTTTTTCTGCCCACATTGATTGTCTTCTACCCAGTCAGTTGCATTGGAGAGGTGGGTGATGTGTTTTCTGTCTGTGCTGTGCAAGTAGCTTGTAAGATTTGCAGATTACTGTAGGATCTTTTGGGCAGGAAACATTTCATTTAAGTGCAATGATTATTGTTCTAGGCTGAAATGTAAATTACTAGAACATTAAGAGTGAATGGTGAAGCACTCAAAATATCAGGGAATTCCAAAGGTAAGAACAACCATGCAGATGCACCTGCTCCCTTGTGTGTATATATCATCCAGAACTAATATTCAAGTATGTGATCATATGTGGTTTTTCAAATAATACAAGAGAAGGGCCCAATCCTGAAAGCATACTCTTAATACTTAGCATACTATTTTGTCACACGAATGGTGTCACTGCTAATGGCAGTTTTCTAAATAGCACTGAACTCATCTACACGAGATGTTTACTGCTCAGTTGACTAATTAACTGCGCAGTAAATGTCTTGATGTATACATATGCTTAAAATACAAGTACTACCCTGCTGCAGAGTTTTTTCATGTGCAGCCAGGGCTGCCCCTGGGGTGGGGGGCAAATCGGGGCAACTGCCCAGTGCCCCACGCTTTGAGGGGACCTGCAGAGATGGGCGGAGAAACTACGGGTGTAGTTTAGCTCACCCACCCAACAGGTTGGGTGGCTCTTTGTCTGTTTCGGCTGCCACCTGTCCCGCTGCGTCCAGTGTGCCGGGGCTTTCACTCCCTGGCGTAAGTGTGCTGTGGGACAGGGAAGGGGGCCTCACACAGGCTGCTTTGCCCTGGGCACAGCACCCTCCTGGGGTTGACTTTGTGTGCAGCAGCACACATGTAGAAGCTGTCCCAGCTGGTTGGGGCACAGGGTACTTCAGTGTAGGTCTAGCCAACAGACAGCCCCCATACTGAAGCACCCTTGTGCCTAAGCCAGTGGCTCTGTAGCATATAGAGTCTGATCAGAGTAGTCCTGGTCTGGCAGGCTGACCCCCCCTGCCCCAGGTCTCCTGCCATCCCAGGCTGCTCTGACCAGTCTCTACAAGTTGCGCATGAATAAACTCTGGAGCAACATGCTCTGGAGTTTTTTGTTTCAGGGTGCACATTCAAACGGGACACCCAGAAGCAAAAAAGTCCAGAGCAGTAAGCTCCGGGGTTTATTATTGCGCATTAATTCCATGTGTATATATGCCCATGAGTACTATGCTAAGCAGTATTGGCAAGATTAGGCACTAACATGACACAGGTTTTTCCACAACCTAATACATATATATATGGCATCTTGGAATGCTTTTTTTCCCCCTTCTGTATTATTATCCAATTTCCATTGGCAGAATGGGTCCTGAAATTTCTGATTTTAACTCTTTACATTATAAAATCTCTTCTTTATAATGTACAATGGTGTTTCAAAAAGTAATGGTAATGTCAACATAAAACCATTTTGTATGTAATGATCATTTACTGGACTGCAAGACTTTGTAAACAATGGGTGCACTCAATAATGCTGCCATCAGTGTTCCCCACTGTAATTTCCCACTTTTTTGCAGACATTCATATAGCCAGCATGGCCAGCCATTTTGCAATTAGTTTCTGAAACACTCTTGTGTTTTGATAATTTTTTTAGCACCAATATACTTTATATTTTCCTTGTAGTCATCAGCACAGCTTTTCCTTCATGCAATTCAGGAAAATAATTTTAGTTACTGCAAGATGCTAAATATGTCTGTAAGCTTATAGGAAAAACTACTGGTATTTTACTGTATTGTCTGTTTAATAAACACAGTAATATAATATCTACAGTGAAGCTCAGTTTGTTGTTTAAAAAAATCTTTAATTTGCCAAAGCAGTTTCCTTTAGGATGTGGGAAGTACATTGCTCCCCTCTGGGCATGTCTACATGAGCTGTTCACTCATTTGACTAATTAGCTGCATGGTAAACATCGCACGTCTACCTGTGTGCCCCTAGTAGGCCAGAGTAGATTAACTCCGCAAAAAGGATAGTATTTGTAAATACAAGTACTTTCCTGCTGTGGAGTTTTTTACTCTGCAGCAGTACACATGTAGACACTGCCCCAGGTGGCTGGGGCACTAGGGTGCTTCAGCACAGGGGCTGCCTGCTGGGTAGTCTCATACTAAAGCACCTTGGTGTCCTGGCCAGCCCCTCTGTAGCACATTGAGCTGGAGAGGTGCAGCCCTGGACTTGCAGGCTGACCCTTTGGGCCCCTTGCCAGCTGGGGCTGCTCCAACTTGGCTCAATGTGCTGTGCTCCTGGGTGCATGTGTGAATTCAGCACCAGGAAGCAATAAACTCTGGAGCAATAAGCTTGTAATTTATTCATGCACACTAATAACACATGTAGATAAGCCCTTTGAAAGTTATTTCTATGTCAAGTTACATCTTTCATATCAACCATTTCAGCTATATGCCTGCTTTTATAAAACAATGTTCAGGATTTTGTTAGAATTTGTTTTTAATGGGAAGTGTCTCTCCCACCATTCTCATGCTGCAAAGCAGCTGAGCTATTTTTGCTGAAACTTTGAAAAAACAAAATATTATCTTCAATTAAAGACCAAGCATGAAAAAAATATTCTGAAAGACAGTTTTGGAAGGTTGTAATGTTTAAAATTCAACTTAGCAGATATCTTACTAGACAGATTTCTGTCAGGCAAGGCATGAAGTTAGGGCTTTGATTTTTGCTTTGTGGTATAAAGTACTGACTGTTTCTAAGTCCTGTAGTACATAGGCACATCCTGGTGGCTATTCTTTTTAAATTCCTTTCTTATAAAATGTAAATATAATATTTAACAATTAAATTTCAGAGCTGTGTTCATCCCTAACATGAATGGAAGGTGTGGAGCTAACTCACTATATAGAGCTCTGAAAGCAACCCCAAATACTATTTTGCTGTAGCTTTTAAGGAGAGTAAGGAAAATCTATTATTTCATTTTCTTCACCTGTTTTTATGAATCTCCACCAATAATGCTGGAGTTTGTTAAAGTAAAATTTAGCTAAGGATTTCTTAATCTGAACTACATGTATTTAGTACTTTTTATTTACTAGTGTCATGTGAAATCAAGGTCTGATTTTTTTTTTAGAGTATGTTGTTTCCATGTCTGTAAGAATCTGGGTCTAGCATAGTGTCTGGAGCACTGACAGGGTTCTTCAGAATTAAATTATGATGATACAGTCTCAGTGGATTAGCAATAAAACGTCTGCCACTTTTACTCTTTCAGAGAATTCGGTCAACGGTGGATGAAAAAGAACAGAAACAGCTTCTGATGGACTTGGATGTAGTGATGCGAAGCAGTGACTGTCCATATATTGTTCAATTTTATGGAGCACTCTTCAGAGAGGTGGGAACTTAGACCTTGTTTTATTTGTATTAGAGGGTTTACTTTACACAGGAAAAATATTTCATGGCAATATCTAATTTATAGTAAGAGGGAGTTAATTTACTGCAGGTTTTCTGTGTCTTCAGTTATAATTAAAGGGAAGAAACCCTGATGTATAATTGCTCATATGTACGCATACATATATGTGTATGTGTGTGCATGTGCATATATCTGTTGTTATGTTCATTCATAAGACCTGTCTTGTGTTCATTCCTGTCCTCCTACTGTCTTTTCCTTCTACTCACCTCTAGGATTTGTGGCAGTTTCTAAAGTAAAGCACTCAGACTTTTTTTTTAATTTTTCTCTCTGGAAATACTTTGTGTGAAGTTCAAATTTTTACACCAGGAACTGTCAAATATGATTTATCTTTTAGCTCTTAAAAAGGTTATAGCCTGCATATACTGCCCTCTGCTGGGACAGGTTGGGGTTGCAGAATCCCTGGAGACACTTGCAACAAGGGGCAAGTGGTACCCCAAGGGGTAGAGTTTCTCTTACAGTTACCTGGCATACATGTTGCAGCATGGCCATGCCATGGACTGCTGAACAAGTCCCTTTCATTGTTCTGGGTGTTTGTACCTCAAGGCTCTGATAGCACTAGGTCTGGTCAGAGTTTTGCACAGATTGGGTGGTGATTAGCAGTGCTAATAATAAATTAACACTCTTGTAGAGAAGGCCTGCTGGGTTTAATGTTATATCAGCTGGTTGTAGATAACTCTAGCGGAGACCATAGTGTTAAGCATAACCAGGCGACATGATATTCAATATCACGTGGCCTTGTCTACATTAAGTGTTTACAATTATACACATGTTTAAATAAAACATAATTTCCCAGTGTAGACAAGGACAAAAAATGTAAAAGGGTTTCTTTGTAACATCTTCATATATCACCAAGTGCTAGGGCAACCCAGACTGGCAGCAGCAGCAACAGAGGTGGTGGCGCTCCCTCATGGTTGAGGATGATTACTCACGGGTCAAGTAAAGGGTTGTAGATGATTCCATAGATGGCTAAGAAGGCTGATCCAAGAGTTAAAGACTCTGGCAGACACCACATGTGGTGGTTAAAGGGAGGATTGGACCATGGATTTCTCAGTCTTGTTTGATTTCCTTCTGTTTCTGCTAGAGGTGCACTGATACATTGGTCTGATACTGGATTGGCACCGATATAAAGAAAATTGATTGTATCGAAAATCACCCCGATGTGGCCGATCATTTGGCTGATAAATGCACATGCATGCACGCAGCCGCAGCACAGCACGTAGGCAGCGAGGAGCACAGCCCAACAGCATGGAGAGCTGTGTGCAGCAGATAAGTCAGTTGTGATGGAAGGGGAGGGGGGAGGGAAAGGGAATGTGGGGACAGATCATTGCCCCCTGCAGTGAGAGAGGGAGTGGGGCAGGGGCTGAGGCAGATGCTGACCAGCTGGGGTAGGGCAGGCATGGAATGAAGCCATGGCTTATCCAGGGGGCACAGGGAGAGGGGGCAGCTCTCACTACTACATGCACCCCAAGAGGACATGGTGGATGTGGGGGGTGCCCCCGGATCTGCTCAGGGGCACGGACACGGTTGGCTGCAGCTGTGGGCTGGGCCCAGGGGCTGAACCAGGCTACAGCGAAATTTGGGGTGGCTACAGCTCCCTTCCCATAGTCCCCCTCCCAGTGCCATTGCTGCCCGCCCCGAGCACAGCCCAGCCCCTGCTGGGAAGAGCCTGCAGCTGCAGCCTGCCCCGCTCTGCACAAATCCAGGGGCACCCCACCCCGTGGTCTCCCGGGGTGTGCGCAGCGGAGGGAGCCACTCCCCCCTCCCCACGCCCCCTGGGCAATCCACAGCTTCGCCCCACACCACCCTGCCCACCTGCCCCACTCCCTCCCCCACTGCAGGGGCCTTGACCTGCTCCACCATGCCCCTTCCCTCCTCCCTCCCCTTCCACCACAACAGACTTACCAGCTGCACTCAGCTGTATTGGAAATCGGATCGGTATCAGCTGATATGCCTCCTTAAAAATTGGCTATCGGTGCTGGCCCCCAAAATCTCTATCAGCGCAGCCCTACTTTCTGTTGTTTTTCTGCCTCTAGGGTGAGACTGTTTTCCTCAAATTAAGATGTACTTTCTCCCAAAAGGCCGTGTAGCCCTGTAGCCCTGTCCCAGGATAGTTTTTCCCAATTTATGGTATCAGTGCTACATGTCTTACTGTTCACCTTGTGGATGTCCTTAAAGCGTTTTCTTTGGTCCCCGCGTGTCCTTTGTCTTTGGCTGAGTTGGGACTGTAGCAGTTGTTTTGGTAAATGTACATCAGGCATGCACACACAATGCCTTGTCCACCACAGCTGATGTTAAATAATCAATGCTTCCATGATGGTAGTGTAGCATCAGTGAAACCTCTTCATTTGTGCAATGATCCTCCCATTTTATGCCAAGGATCTTCTGGAGGTAGCACTGGTGAAGGTGTTCCAGGCTTTTCAGGTGGTCCCTGTAGGTCACCCAAGCTTCTTACCCATAGAGAGAAGTTGGGGTTACTACAGCCTTATATAATAGGAGCCTTGTTCAAGTCCTGATGTTGTGATAGTTGAACCCACAATGATACAGTCTTCCAGAGGCAAAGCTGGCACATTGAGCCCTATATTGAATCTCCTCATCAATGTTGACCTTCTTTGTCAAGGTATGCAAAGTATTTAACATTCTTTAGCTCCTGTCCATCAATGAGGATCTCTGCTAGGGGGAGTTGATTGGTCCAGAGCAGGCTGGTGAAGCATCTTTGTTTTTCCAATGTTAAAAGTCAGTCCTGAGCACTGGTATGCTTGAGAGAAGCAATTAAGGGTCATTTATAGGTCTTTCACAGAATGTATAATGACAGCAGAATCATCAGCGTACTGAATTTCCACAATTGAGCCTGATGTAACTTTGCTTTTGGCATGGAAGCAGGAAAGATTGAAAAGGTTCCCAGCCCTCCTGTACTCAATGCCATGTGGCAGATGGTCAGGGATAAGCATCTTGATGACCACAGGAAAGATGGAAAGTAGAATAGGTGCAATCACATAGCCCTGCTTGACACCAGTTCAAATGGCAAAAGGGCTCTATAGCGAAGGCACTGCATAGGATGGAGACAGTCATCTGGTCATGAAGGGGTCTTAGCATGGTGATAAATTTTCCAGGGAAGCCAAACTTTGATAAGATCTTCTATAGAGCCTCACAGTTAACAGAGTCAAAAGCTTTGGTCAAATCAATAAAGGCCATACACAGTCTGTGGTGTTGTTCTTAGCATTTTTCCTGGATCTGCCAGGCCACAAAAATCGTGTCCATGGCACATCTGGATGGTCTGAAGCCACATTGAGACTCAGGAAGGATTTCTGTGGCAAGAGGGAACATTCATTTCCACAGAATCTGATTGAGGATCTTCCCAGCAATGGAGAGGACCTGTGCAACACCTTGATAGTTTCCAGAGTCAGATTTACCTCCTTTTTTAAAAATGGCGATAGTATTAGCATTCCTTAGGTCATTGGGAATTTCCTCAGTGTTCCAGATTTTAAGAAATAATGTTGGCACTTGTTGACCATAGTTCCCCCACCAACTTTGAAGACCTCAGCTGGTATGCTGTCTGGGCCAAATGCTTTGTTGTTCTTCATCTGTCTTATTGCCCGGTGGACATCTTCCAAGGTTGGTGGTCTGGTAAGTGCTTATCTTATTGGATACTGTGGGATGGATTCACTGGTTTCATCAGCTATTGTTGATTCTCAGTTCAGGAGCCTTTGGTAGTGCTCCTTCCAGCAGTTTTGATGGACTCTTTGTCTTTGAGGAATGTACTGCCGTCTTTAGATCTGAGCAGAGTGAGACAGCAAGAAGGTTTTGTACCTGTCATCCAGCCTGTAATGTGCACAAAAAAACACTGAGAAGGTAGTCCAGCATGTATGGATCTCTGACACTATATTCAGGTTAGGAGAAAACTGGAGATGGGATCTCCTGTCAAAACAATAGAATTCAACAATGCAAAACAAGACTGGACAGTAATTACACAGGCCCATCAGCACAAAGGGAGGGTGGGAATCAGATTTGTCACTGAATGTCAGCTATTTGAAAAAATCACAGATTTCTTTAAAGAAACTGGGCTCCAGTGATAAGCTTCCACTCAACACCATATTAGCTACCATGGATGTCACATCTCTGTTACAAATATCTGCCATGAGGATGGATTATAAACCATAAAAAACATTATCCCTAATGAGAGAACTTCTGTTTCCATTATGCTCTCCTGTGTTGTCCTCACACACAACTGTTTCAGATTTGAGGACTCTATGTCTGCAAATGAATGGCACGGCCCTGGGCACATACATTGCCCCCCAGTATGCCAACATATGAATGACAAACCTTGAAGTCCATCTCCTCTTAACCTGCCCTCTCAATCCCCCTGATATACCTCAGGTCCAGGTCCATTGATGACATCTTCATAATACGGACACATGGAATGGAATCTCTCGAAAAAAAATCACTAGGACTTTTACAATTTTCACTCCGCCATCAAACTGACTCTGGAATATTCAACGCAGCAGATTCATTTCCTAGACACTACAGTATAGTTTTGCAGTGTCTACATCACCACCACATTGTATTGGAAACCAACTGACCACAAGAGCTACCCTACACACCACCAACTTTCATCTCAAGCACTCAACTAGATCCATTGTCTACAGCCAAGCACTATGTTACAATTTTATGTCCTTTGATCCCAGTAACCAGGATAAACACCTTAAGGCTCTGGAGCAAGGAATCCTACAGTTATAATCCGAAAACCATAACCATTCAAATCAACAAAACCAGACTTAGACCTTACTCCAACTTGCTACAGTACCAGCCCTGGGACAAGAACAACAGAATCCCTTTGGTCATCACCTACAGCCCACAGCTTGAACACCTTAGAGACATCATTAATGACCTCCAGTCCCTACTAGAAAAGGATGACCATCTCAAGG